GCCACGGGTTTAGGGTTTCGTATTTGTACAGGGTTTAGGGTTTAGGGTTTGTCTAGCGTTTAGGGTTTAGGGTTTGGCGACACACTGCGGTGGAGGTGGTGGAATACGGCAGCGACAACAAGAAAGTTCAAACTGCCGCGACGTTCCCTGTCAAACAACGCGAAGCTGGCTGAGACACAACACCCAAGACCCTAAACCCTAAACCCTAAACCCTAGGCCCTAGGTGGTATTGCCTGGAGTCCCCTAGAGAGGGCGTGTGCTTGCTGCTGCTCTTCTTCTTGCTATCTCCGTAGGTTTCTCTGCTCCTGTCTCCTCCTCTAGCTCTGTCACTGCCTTCGTCTGTGTCTTTGCTGCTCTCTCCGTGTCTCCATCGCCGTTCCTGTTTCTGTATCTGCTTCTTTTTCTCTCCCTCTATCTGCTGTCTGTCTCCTTTTGTGGTGTATACGCACCTTTAATTCTGTCTCCTCTGTTGACGCTGCAGTATCGTGACAGCCCCAGCAGCACCTCGAGGACATTGACGGCCCCACAGCGACCCCCCTGGATCTCCTCAAATGCATCTGCGCACCACATATCCACACATCCTGTTCTCGTTTAGGGTTTAGCGTTTAGGGTTTTGGCAGAGTCGTCAACGTGTAACACGCTTGCAGCAATGCAGCAACAATAATGCAGGCTGTCTCCTTCAGTCCCCCTGACTGTCTCCTCCTCCTCCGGCCTTGAAGGAAAAGACGGATTACATGTAGAGTTTAGGGCATGGCAGTTAGGGTTTAGGGTTTAGGGTTTAGGGTTTTGCCGTCTTACCTTCAAGCGCTCTGCGGACTTCCTGCTGATCCTCCCACTCCCCAGCCACCGCTGGAGCAGAGGGGGCCCCCAGGTGCCCCTCGGGGCCTCCCGAGGGTTTAGGATTCAAGTCGGGGGCCACCTTCGGGGCCCCTGTATGGGCCTCCAAAGGGCTTGCTTGCTGCAGAAGCAGCGGCTCTAGAGCTTGACAGAAGTCGGTGATTGTGAAGTAGAAAGAGGAAGCGGTGTTGACGAGGGTTTCTATTGCTGCAACAAAAACCCTAAAAATTAAACCCTAAACTCTGAACACAACACCCCTCTAGCCACGAAGTACAGGTTTCCTCGTGGTATTTGCAGCAGCACTGTAAAGCCGAATGGCTCGTTACTCGCGTTTGTGTCTAGGGTTTAGGGTGTAGGGTTCTAGGGTTTAGGGTTTAGGGTTTAGGGTTTAGAGATACCTGAGCTGAGGGCTATGCTGTTCATCACGTGAAATTCAACCGGATATTCTGTTGCTTGCATATTGTTGAATATATCTGCTGCTGTTAAAGTTGAAAGGAATTCCTTAAAGGGAATACAATTGCCCAGAGAAGGTTTCATACGATGAATAGATACCTGCCTAGACACTTGAGGAGACAGACCCCAACTCAACACCTCGTGCTGACGTCGGGATGCAGAACAACCACGCTGCAGCTGCTGCAGCGTCATTAGCGAACCCAAAGGCCTCCTGCAGTGTACATACACCCCCAAAACGCACATACCCATAAAAAAACAGCTCGGTGGGGCAGTCGCCGTGCTCCATATAGCGTGTAGGGTTTAGGGCATAGGGTTCAGGACCTGGTGTTGATTTACTCGTGGTTGTTGTAGCTCTCAAACAGCCCGCTGAGACAATTCTCCCCCTGCAGCATCTCACTGAGGGTCTGATACTTCTGCTTGGGGCCCCGGGACCCCCGGGGAGCGTCGGGGTCCCCCCCTACTACGATCTGAGCTTCAGCAGCTCGGGAGAAATGCCCAAACCCCACAACTCCAAGGGGTCCCTTAGCGACCTCCATGTTTGCTGCAGGGACTTGGGGGGCCCCAAGCAGCCTCCGGAAGAGGCTGGTTATCCAGGGGGTACTCGCACAACATCGGCGTTGATATGGCCTGGGCCCTGCTGATGCTGCTGCTGTCGCTGCTGCTGCAGGTACTGCGGATTGTGCTGGCAGTCGGTGCGCTGCGATGGAGCGGCCCACGTTGAGCTGCAGCAACCTTCGGGTGTACAGGCAGCTGCAGCAGCTGGCGGCTCCGCGCATGGGTAAAGCGTCTGATGACTTCTCGCTTTGGTTAAGAACGACAACAAAATTAAGAAGAACTCCGAAGGAGACAGAAGAAGATGCAGCTCAACGAGAGTACATACACTCCAGAGCCAAAGCAAACACCAAGTAACAAGCAAACCGCCAATGAAGTTGCAGAAATGCCCGAAAGTAATGCGTCTAAGGTGTCTATATAATTGGATTCTAAAGGCCAATTGCGTAGTCATGTATTTATTGATAATAAATAAAGCGTTTAAATATTAACAACTGTCGGACTGGAGGAGCCCCGTGGCTGGTGCTATCTACCTGGCCAGTGGTCATGACCCCCCGCCTCAGTCCCGCTTCAATCGTTGCAGTGCAGTTAACCAAGGCAAATATATTTAGTTTGAATATGCACACAATTAAATATTTGTATACTCAGTTATCTGCATAAAGTACTTGATGGTACGCGCATCGCCAGGGCAGCGGTTAAGCGGGCGATTTCGCGATGTACGCGCACTGCAACGCCTCACCACCAGGGAAATTCAGCCTTTGTTCAATTTTTTATAGATTACTTTAAACCAAACCACCACCTTATACACTCTTCAAGCAGCTTCGGCCGGCTTCTGCCGCTGCACTAGTAGCACTAGCGCCACCCCAGCGGCGGCTCCACAAGTCACGATCTTAGCCACAGCAGCAACAGAAATACAAATAAAAAGTTATAGTGCACTTACATCTGTTGAGTCTGCAAGAACGGTCTGTACACTTCGTGGCACGGGTCGCTTCCTCCCGGGTGTATCCTTGCCTCATTTGCAGATGTTCAAAAACTCGGAGCTATGCCTTCATACTCAGGTAGATTCAGTTAACTGCACCCAGCTACAGCTAGCTATAGGGCGGGTGGCGGTTGTTGCTCTAGCTCATATCCCCGCCCCTCCAGCACGAGCTTACAGGACTAAGACCATTGGCCCACACGACGGAGAGACACTGCAGGTTCGCCTGCATGTTAAGGATCTGCATGCTACTTAAGCGGCATTTCAGTATATAAATAATATACAGAATATATATATATATATATATATATATATATATAGATTTTCGTTCGCTCGATTTCGCTTCTGCCGGTTGCCTTAGCAGCCTTCAAACCCTGCAAGGTAACGCCTTTCTAGAGTGCACGTACAGCAGTGGGGTGTATGTAGATCCCTCACTGTTCATGCATAACAGGCAGCAGGTTCCCAAACCCTAAGCCCTGAACCCTAAACCCAAAGAGCCTCTGGGATGGCTTCAGCTGGCGGCATCGTGGAATGGTCAAGTAGGTGAAGTCGAAACACCCCAAACGCTAAACGCTAAACACTAAACTCGTAACCAGAATGGGTTCTGATGTTCGCGCGAGTCGGAGCTGTCTCCAAGTTGTTAAGGCTATGGATTCGAAACACCCCATACTCTAAACCCTAAACCCTAGGGCGCTTGAGTGGTCAGCCAATTCGATGGTATGTTCGACTGGTTAAGGAGCCACTGGGCTTTGCCCGCTCAGGCTCGAATCCTGCTCCCAGCAGCGTAGCAGCAGCCATAAATGCAACAAAGCAGCGCTCCTTGCCTAGCTAGCTAGCTAGCTAGTCATGTGAAGCCGACGGCACAGGGCTAGCTAGCTAGCTAGCTAGCTAGCAGCTAGGCCATGTGCCGTCGGTTTTATATATGACTGTGGAATTTGTCTCTCGTATTGTGTTGTTTATTTTTCTTTGTATCATAGGGGTTTTGTCTCTCTGTCTCCTTTTATTATTCGTCTCTTTCTCTGCAGCTATAACTTCCTCTGTCTCCACGCGTCTGCCTCTGTGTATGTGCCCTCGCTGTCTCTCAACAGATGTCCCCGTTCTGTCTCTGGTTGTGTTTCGGGAGTGTGACAGTCCTGTTCTTGCTGCATCTGTTGGTTCGTGCTTCTCCGTTTTGTCTCCTCCCCCACAGGCGAATGCAGCGGCCTCCGTCGTTCATTCAGTCGCAGTATCTCCTTCTCACGTCTCCACAATCTAGGCAGAGGTCATTGCACTAGAAAACGATTGGCAGCCAACTGGATGCGCAAATAGGAGGAAACATGATTAGGCAGTTTGCGAGCCCTTGCTGAGACACAGGCTGTTCCATAGACGAACTACTGACAGATAGCCCTTCCCACGCACTTTGTTCCTTCCCTTCTCTAAGCCCCTTCGTCGCTGTAATCTGGGCTTCAGACTAGGGCATTGGTCTCTACCGAGCAAATTCACTGTGCTGCGCGAAATATCCTCTGCAGACTACGACGAGTTAAATATTCTCTCACAAGTGTTGGATAGTGTGCGCATACTAACTAGTTGAAAGCTGCGTGATCGATGCACATTAATTGAAGAAGCTTCCCAGTCCTGACCATTGGTTGCAAGAGGTCTGTCGGATGCGCGAGGGGCAGACTGTTCAGCAGAGATCTATGTACAATGTACGCTGAATTGGCAAATAAGCAACCCCATGCTATTGCAGGTGATGTTTCTCCGTAGGCCGGTAGCCGCAGTTACAGCGCGCAGCAACAGCCGCGGCAGCTGGTTGTATCATCGACGTATCCTTTGGAATAGTTGGGGCTACCCAGCAGCAAGTTGCTTCTGTGCCTCAGGCGTCATCCATGTGCATGTATCTGGGCGCAGATGATGACTTGCAGAATACAGTGGGGAAGCACAGGCGCAGCTTGTCGGTCGCACCCCAGATGCTGCCCCGCAGAGACCAACAACGCTGCAGTGTGCTATTCCCACAGACAAATGCAGCGGCCTTCGTCGTTCATTCAGTTGCAGTATAACCTCACGCCTCCACAATCTAGGCAGCGGTCATCGCCTGGTGCGTTTATGGTGCGTGTGAGCTGCTGCAACTACTGTTAATTTGGCGGCGTCTGCATCTCATACTGCTGCGGGATCCCCTGCTGCTGCTGCTGCTCCTCTTGCTACTCCC